GAAACAATATCCCTTAAATCAAAATTTAAATAAGAAATGGAAAACTCAATTCTCTAGATTTAAGGGAAAGAATAAGAATCAATGGAAAACTAAAAACCAGATTAGGAAATGTTATTACTGTGGTAAAACTGGCCATGTAATAAAAGATTGCTTCAACAAAATCTCATATATGAAAGAGAATACTAATACTGAGGGATCTGCAGTTGTAGCCTGTAGAGATGAATCTGATATTCAAGGGGTTGTTTTAGTAACAACCACCAGAAGAGACCCAAATGAATGGGTCCTTGACTCTGGCTGCACCTTTAACATGTGTCCCACAAAAGAATATTTTTCTGAATTTGTTAACCTAAATGGAGGACAAATTCAGATGAGAAATGACATGAGTTGTCAAATTAAGGGAATTGGAAAAGTTAAACTCTCATTAAATAACAATTGTACCCTAGAACTTGAGAACACCAGATATGTCCCTGAGTTAAAAAGAAATCTTATTTCCTTGGGTGAGCTTGATGATAAATACAGCATTATGATTCATAAATGTTTCTTAACTCTTATGCAAGGAAATAAAACTATCATATCCTCTCAAAAGATAAATGGCATAAATATTGTATGTGCTCAATCTGTGATAGATCACTGTTCTACAGCCTTAAACTCTGATCCCAATAAGTATTTAATTTGGCATAAAAGACTTGGCCACATCTCAGAAAAGGGACTAATAATCTTAAATAAACTTGGATGTTTTGGTAAGGACAATGTTAAGGGTTTGGATTTTTGTGAAAATTATGTATTTGGAAAACTTGCCTTTCAAAATTGGTATTCATAAATCTACTTCAATATTATAATATTTACATGCTGATCTTTGGGGACCAGCATCTGTAAATACTCTGAGTGGATTTAGATTCTATCTACTTATAGTAGATGATTTTTCAAGGAAAAATTGGACTTTTCTTCTAAAACAAAAATCTGATACTTTTCAAACCTTTAAACAATGGAAATTAATGATCGAAAACCAAACAAATAAGAAAATCAAGACTTTAAGGACTGATAATGGTCTTGAGTTTTGCAACTCTGAATTTGACTTGTTTTGTAAAGATTATGGAATCTTAAGACACAAAAATCTAGCATACACTGCTCAGCAAAATGGTGTTGTTGAGAGAATGAATAGATACTTATTGGAAAAAATGAGATTTATGACGTACAGTTCTGGTCTTCCTAAGTTCTTTTGGGGAGAGATCCTAAAAACAACAACTTATCTAATAAATAGAAGTCCATCAAGTGCCATTGATTTTCAAGTCCCTGAAAAGATATGGTCAGGAAAAACTCATGATTATAGTAAAATGAAAGTTTTTTGCTACACTGTCGATTCACATCAGAGTGAAGGGAAACTAGAACCCAGGTCCTTAAAGTGTGTTCTTTTGGGTTATGTTGAGGAAACAAAAGGGTACAAATTGTGGGTTAGAGACCAAAATGGCTTTAAGGTCATTATTAGTAGAAATGTCTTTTCAATGAAAATGACATGCCTTGTATGAAATCAATTGATCTTAAAACTTCAGAACCTGCACTATTGAAAGAAACCATCTTGGAAAATAGAACTGATGAATCTGAAAATCTAGATGGTCTAATTGAGGTGGAGACCTCTCAGTCTGAGGAAAACCCTGATCAAAATGAAACTGAAATTGAGGTGGAGTCTTCAAATCCTACACTTGCTGATTATCAGTTAACTAGGGATAGAGAAAGGAGAAATATAAGACCTCCGATCAGATTTAATAATGAAGAATTTGTCACCTTTTTCTCTGGTTTGGACTTATTAAATTCTGAACCTACTTCATTTGGTGAAGCAAATAAATGTCCAGATTCTAAGTTCTGGAAAGAGGCCATGAATGAAGAAATGAACTTCCTCATAAAAAATAAAACTTGGGTTTTGGTTGATAGGCCTAAAAACCAAAAGATAATTGACTGCAAATGGATTTTTAAAATTAAACAAGGGGACTCTAACTCACAAGATAAAAGATACAAAGCCAAATTAGTAGTCAAGGGTTTTACTCAAAAGGAAGGGGTGGATTACAATGAAATCTTCCCCAATGGCAAAATATACCTCTATAAGAATAGTGTTGGCACTAACTGCTCATTTTGAATGGGAATTAGATCAACTGGATATCAAAATTGCATTCCTCAATGGGTTTGATGAAACCATATACATGAGTCAACCTCCGGGGTTTGAAGTAAAGCCTAAGATCAATAAGGTTTGTTTGTTGAAGAAGTCCCTCTATGGACTAAAATAGGCACTCAGGCAATCATACATTAAATTTAACTCCTATGTGCAGACTTTGAGTTTTGTCAAAAACAATTATGATTCCTGTTTTTTCTATAAAGGTTCAGGTGGACCTGAATCCATTTATCTGTTATTATATGTTGATGACATGTTGCTTGCCTGCCATGATAGATTTGAAATTAACTTCATTAAATCAAAATTAAAATCTGAATTTGAAATGAAAGACCTCGGACAAGCAAAAAGGATTCTTGGAATGGAAATACAAAGAGATAGGAATAATTGCATGTTAATATTGAAACAAGGCATATATGTGAAGAAAATACTTGAAAAGTTTTCAATGCTTGAGTATAAACCTGTAACCTTACCCATTGCTAATCATTTTAAACTGTCAAGTGAAAGTTCGCCTAAAACAGATGATGATTTTATAAGAATGGAAAAGATTCCTTATGCAAATGCTGTAGGATCAATAATGTACCTTATGGTCTGTACCAGACCTGACTTAGCTCATGGCATTAGTACCTTAAGTAGGTTTATGTCAAATCCAGGTGAAACACACTGGTTAGCCATGAAGTGGATGCTAAGATACTTAAAAGAAAACTCTGATTTAGGTTTAATGTTTAAAAGAAGCAATGAAGAGGTAAAGTATAAGGGCTACACTAATTCTGATTTTGCTGGCGATTTAGATAAAAGAAGGTCAACATCTTCATATGTCTTCACTTTGTGTGATGGCTGCATTAGTTGGAAATCACAACTGCAAAAATTAGTTGCTCTTTCCTCTACAGAAGCTGAATATATTGCTGCTTGTGATGCAGTAAAAGAAAGTATTTGGCTTAGGGGTTTGTTAAATGAAATAGGTTTTGAAAATAATACTGTTAGGGTTTATACAGATAACCAAAGTGCCATACATTTGAGTAAAAATCTTGTCTACCATGACAGAACTAAACATATAGATATAAAATTTCACTTTGTGAGAAATATGGCAGAAAAAGGTTTGATAAGTCTGGTCAAAATTCCTACAGAATTTAACCCTTCAGATTTAGGAACTAAGGTATTGCCTTTGGGTAAATTTCAAAATTGCTTGAAGATTTTGAATATTACTTGAGATAGTAAAAATCAAAACTTCAAGTGTTTAGCATTGGAAAGATTTGAACTAATGTGTTTATTTTGTTTTTGCAGGTATTTAGAGCAAATGAGCCAACAGTTGCTATAGCTCTAGATTCACTAGTAGAGACCGATAAATAATTCAGCAAGGTGGAGATTGTAACATTAGTTGGGTTGCCTCACCATTGCTTGCTGGCCCAGATTGAGACTTGTGGGCTTGGTCTGTTGGAATTAATTTCGGGTTATAAATCGTGTTTTAGAGAAACACGTCTTTGCCTCTTAAATCGTTGAGGTTCAGCCGTACACGTGGCTTCACTCTCACCCTTGGATGGTTGACTGATCAGATACTTGGTTTTGGCCCCGATTCTAGATGATTCGAAGTCTTTCAACCTTTCGTTTTTCTCTCCTTTTCTCTGAGTGATAGATTAGGGTTCTTGGGTTACTGTAATTCGATATGTTCTTGGTGATTTCTCAATCTGTAATCTTAGTGATGGTTTCTGATTGTGTTGTATAGTCTGTTAGCGATTGAGAGTGAGTTAGATTACAGTTTTGAATAGAGGCGAAAGGATATTCGAAGAAACCTTTGGTTTCTTTGTACATGTTGCACTGTTCTTGATTGATACTTAGTGGATCTTGAGCTTTATCACCTTTTGGTGATGCTCAACGGGTGATTAGGTCGCAAGACATAACATCCGGGCCCTCTTTAGGGCGAAACATATCTTCGTGTTCGAATCCTTTAATTTTTTACAAATTATTTTTACTGCAAAGCTATCCGTTTTTGAGACTCAACGATTTTTCGACTTAACATCCTTGTTCACAAGCTTCCTTTTTGCTATCGTTTTGCACGCAAACTGCTCTCCCGTATGTTTGTTTGTACACAAATGCGTCACCCCAAATTGTCCTCTCCTGAGCTCTTTTCCAATGGTGTAAGTTGAACAGACGTCCTCCATTGGACGCCCTAAAACTGGCCCTATCGGGGTTGGTTTCAAAGGCTTTGTGGAGTGATTAGGAGAGGCAGAAGGTGGGGAGGTTTTAGTTGGGGCTGTGATGTTACCCATTGAGGCCTTTTTGTCGTGTTTCGACTTGGATTCGGCTTTCCCTGCCTCATTATCGCCTGTTAGAGCATCATCTGCGCCACCCTGGGGGCAGCAATTACCCATAGAACAACGAAAGAACGAGAAGAGTCAAGGAGAAAGGGAAGGAGAGGAATAGAGGTGGCCCTGCCGGAGGAAGAAAACAAACAAAATCTTTCTTTGGCGGGATTTTTGGGGGTTGAAAAGAAGCAAGAGAGTGTCGAGAGAGAGCCATGCAACGTGAAAAGATTAGTTAAGAGGTACTGAAGAATTCATTGCATTGGACTGATGGTGAGAGATTGAAGGATAGATTTTGCTGACGTTTGTTTTCTTTAAGGAAACCATTTTAAGACAAGGGTTCTGAGGATTTCCAGGGAACATAGATACATTTTTTGGTTGGTTAGAAGTCTATGAAAATGGTTAGTTTCCGTGTAACCGTAAGAATGACGCCATCCCAACTTAAGCTAAAATTTTATCAACTTTTCAACTGGTTAAACTTCAATTTTAACATAGCATATCATTGGATCCACAAATTTTATTAACTTTCCGAAAACAAATTTTATCAACTTTTATCAAATTTGCTAAAACTTTCTCAATTAAACAATCCCTGTACTGTATACAAATTCTTCCCAGACGGAGACTAAGCTAAAAGGAAGCTCTAATCTCCATCTTGTAAATGATCCATCAAGTTCATTCAATCATCATTACATATTCCACAAAATAATGGGATAATGCTACAGCAAAGAACCTACGAAAATGAAAAGTCGAACTTCATACAAGTAAAAGATAAATCTTGCTCAATAAGTAGGTATTGATGGATCCGCTTTCACAGCATACTCGTGAATTCCCCCTATCACGTTGAATACCTTCTTGAAACCCTGAGAATCCATAGTAGTAGCCATTACATTTACTGAATCGGGAAAATAAAATTCTGTGAAGAGACATATACTATCCATGCATAAACGACGACATGTTTGGTACATCAAATTATACAGTCCAATATTAGTATAAAGCATAATCTGAAAAAGTTGAGTAGAACACAAAACTATAGTTGGAAAGACATGGTGAGTTGGTTCACAAGTTTGTTTTAGTATAGAACTTGTTCAGCTATAGATATGGAGGATATTAAAATCCATTTATCAATTCTAAATAATTAGCTAAATCTAGGTAAAATATTTGTAATCCTGGACATGGAAAATATTTGATGATAATGTCGACAAGAAACTGAATTAGCTCAAAGAATTGACCCTCAGAAAATATGGACGAACTACATTTTATCTAAAACTCGGTTTAAAATTTAACTAATGGAAAACTGATGGTGTGAAATCTGCAGTTATGAAACTAGGTTCTAGAAAACTATCCAGTTTTATCTAACAAAATCGCTTTGGTCCTTCCCGAACACTGCCTAAGAATATTATCAAGCATCCCGTGAGAAAATAAGTGCATCCTGTAAAAATAATTTTTGCTTCTGAACATTCCCGAGATAGTACATGCATAATGTTTTACCTGGGTCTGCAACCATTTGGCGACTTGTAAAGACCTCATGCCGTGATGACACTGCATTGCAGAAGTCAGAAAGTATTCAAAACATTGCAAGGAAACAGCAGTTGTTTAAATTGGAAATTGGGGAAAGAGGAAAATGTATTTGGAAGTAATTCCATGCACAGACAAGTGAATTTCGGAAATTGCATTGATGGAAACAGCGAACAATTTATTTCCCTTTTATTTACTTGGGTTGGAATCAAAAACAGATAACCAATTAAATGTAGAGTATTTGAATCCTATGGCCCCAAACAAGTTGTGAGGTAGATATACCCAAACAATATATAATGAAAACCAATTTGACTCATGTACAAGTAACTTGGTTAACATAACCCATGGGTAGCCTGCATTTAAATAAACCAAGTAATCTTCTTACCCCGGTTAGGCGTAACGATTTAAAATGGGAGCGATAAGAAAAATCTGGGAAAGCAAAATAAAAAACACCATACTTGCACTAGTAATATGACATGCCTAAAAGAAAACAAATGATAAGAGAGTTGTACAACAATATGTAAACAATTGGATCAGGAAGAACTGAACATATGAAACCCCGATATGTGACAAACATATTACCACCTCAAAAACATAGAGAAACCAGAATTACAGAGTAATATTTTTAGTAATAAATTGTGAGTGAGTTGAAAGTACATATATAACAGAACAAAGAATAGGTACACGATAACTGCATGCACCTTCAACAGTAATAACACACAAAATATTGGACTTTCCTCGCATTCATGTGTAAATTTCACAGTAGATAGGAATTTGCAGAGCTACAGACTACAGTTGATTCAGCATAGAAAGACAGTTCGAGACATAGTATGTTCATAACAAAGAGCTAAGGTATATACAAACCAGAACATATGTATCCTTTTGAGGATCAAACTTAGTCATAATTTCTGGTCCCCAGCTACTAAACTGGCGAAGTGGAAGAACCGTAAAACCTGGCAAAGAAGCTTGGGCCCTGTTATAGAAAAACAAGACATCAAAATAATAACATAATTCCTCCAACTGAAATTGAATAAAATTGAGGGTGGCTTTGAACAGTTTCAACTCCTGCTCACAGTTTCTGAATTATTCTCATCCTAGGGGGTTTCTTTAACATAAATCTACCTGTGAAATTGGGGCAATTTTCAATTGTTCAGCCTTACAGCCAATATTTCTGGTGCCGTCACATTAAAAAGTTGTGGACTCACTTAAGTTTAGATGGGAGCTCACATTGTATGAATAACCACTTCTTTGGAATGAAAAGAACATTTTTCTTTAGCAAATCACAACAGCACCACAAACATTAAAAATTTCACGTAAAAACTGGGGATGGGTGTGCTTGCACGCCTGTACTTTTTTAGTAATCTATAAAATTGAGAAACTAAGTCTCATATAGCCATGAATAACCTTAAAGCTTTGCTCTTGGCTTTCCAAATATAAAAGTTAATGATGAGCATGTTAAATCTTCCCAAAATATCTCATAATTTTGTTGTGAACTCGGTAATTTTCCTTGTTATATTGCAATGATAAAATAAAAAAAAAATATTAGTTAGCATAATATAAATTTTTTCTCATACACTTCTTCAGGTTCTCGAACGTCAATCAGCTGAGCCTCTTCAAGAAAAGAGGGATGCTGAATTTTCTCGTGAAGCTCAATAGGCTTAATGTATTCAAGATTTGATTCTTCCCTGTGCACAGAAAATTGCAAATTTAAGAAAGAGCAAATCCATTTCCGTAAGAGACTAATCGCAAAAAGCTTTTGAAAATACCTCTCTGATAGGACTTGCAATAAATGCCACCCAAATTTAGTCTTGCACCCTACAACTTTATTTAGTGGTGCACTGAATGCTGCCTCCTCAAATTCTGGCACCTGATATATTTGACAGCGAAGAGTAAAAGAAGATCAAACGAGGCAATTCAAAGAGAGAATATCAATTCAACTCCACATTAACCATGGGAAATTTGGACAATCGCACATAAATTTATCTAACACTAGAAGTCCAAAAATCATCAAAGAATGCTTTCGCGGCTTAAAAAATATCTTGATTGAGTTGTAATTTCTCTGCAGTCACTTTGTAATTTTCAACTCCCAAAACAGAACTGTGTCAGTCGCAAAAGAAGAAAATGTCTGACAATTCATTTTCTGATGACTCTTACTTAATGTCAAGCTTATGGGAATGCAAAATATTTGACTTGTAATTGTGACAAGCTTTGTACAATAATCAGTCTAATTATCCCAAAAGATTGAGGGTCAAAACTTTAAAGTTTGACTTCTTTATTAGATGAAATTTGGAGAGTGACTTATCAGCTACACATAAAATTAGTCCGAGGGAAGTAATTTATTTCAATCATCAAGAGTACTAGTTTAGAAAAGGAAGTTCAAGAAAGATATCTACTGAAGAACATACCATCTGCCCCTTTCTCACCCAACCGAGCATTCCTCCTTCCTCTTTTGATGGACATATTGAGTATTCCACAGCCAAGTCACTCAAGTCCTCTCCTGAATTAACGAATACACTGTCACTGACCAATAAATGAGGATAAGCTTCAACAAAGCTTTAATGTGTCTCCTATTTTAACGTAAATGTAAAAGGGACACAACAAGTAAACTGATCAGGTTTCCAGATTAACTATGGATCTTCAACAGCGTTTTTTGTTGTGTTTTCCTATCATAAGAGGTAAAATATCGGTAAAGAAAGATTTCCCTAATGGATGGTTTACCATATAGAAACTAACCTTCAGCAACTCTTTTCTGCAGCTCAAGCAAAAGCTTCATGTCATCTTCTTTAACAAGCAAATGCTGCACTAATATTTCTCTGCCACCTTCAGAACTGTTCCCAGTGCTAAATGAAGCTGGGGAAAATATATAGTTTAGACCATAACTACTTCCACTAAACACAAAACTAGAAATGAAACTGACAACATAATTGCACGTCTCTTTTGCACACCACTGGAGAAGAGGCAATTGACTATTGCAAAAGCAAGTTTCAATATAGTTAAGTTATAAGTCGGGTATTTGTGGGGTTTTAAAATTTTGTCAGCATGCAGAGAAATTGATCGTTGGAAGAAGTTTATTCTATTATGCAGCAAACAGTTCCTCAGTGCTAGTTAGAGAACAAATTCTCACATAATATATTAACCTTGATGAAGGGAAAAAAAAGAAGAAGAAGAAGAAGAAGAAGAAGAAGAAGAAGAAGAAGAAGAAGAAGAAGAAGAAGAAGAAGAAGAAGAAGAAGAAGAAGAAGAAGAAGAAGAAGAAGAAGAAGAAGAAGAAGAAGAAGAAGAAGAAGAAGAAGAAGAAGAAGAAGAAGAAGAAGAAGAAGAAGAAGAAGAAGAAGAAGAAGAAGAAGAAGAAGAAGAAGAAGAAGAAGAAGAAGAAGAAGAAGAAGAAGAAGAAGAAGAAGAAGAAGAAGAAGAAAAGAAAAAAAGACTCTACATTTAGCAACACGAGGTCTTAAAATGAAGTACCTGAAAAATCAATTTGAATATGAATGGATTCATTTCAAATATCAAACTTGATACCAGAATTTGATATGACTTAACACAAAAAGAAGTGTTCTTCAACTGAATTCATGGATTTCAATAGAAACACACATTTCAAATCCCAATCCGAAGAACACATTTCATCCAAACACAAAACAAAGTATCGTCTTGACATCAAAATTTTTGCAATGTTGAACTGTTCTAAAGCCCATTACAAATTCTAGATAAATAAATACTTTTGTTGACGATATATCCGAGACTGACCCAACACGTGCTGTTGCTTAACACCCTTGTTTGAGAATAAACAATCTTCTTCTAAAAATGTCAATGAAAAAGCAAATTTCGCCAGTAAGAATCTATCCACAGAATCTTTGTAAATCCATAGACTTTCGTCCTTCCACTTTTATTTGCAAATCCTTTTGTTTAATCTTAGAAATATATGGGACAGACATAAAGAGAAGGAATAGCGGGCAAAGAGATGTCCGATTCCAATGTTGATTTGGCGACCTTCACCCGTACCAAGTAGGAAGATTCGTCCGATCGGTCAATACCTCAACTTTTTTAGAACAGGTCTGAATATTTTATATATATATAGGAGATCATAAAAGCAAACTAATCAGGGAAAAAAAAACAATTAGCGGGAATTTCCAACAATAACTAATAAATTAAAACACAATCTTTTGCTCCAATGAAAACTAACCCATTAATCAACTGAAACAAAGGAAAGCAATTAATTACATGAATACAAAAAATTAACAGAAAACAACTCGCAAAAAATAAAAATCGAATCTGGAACAATTCCGAAATAACTTCAGATAGCGGGGCAAGAATAGACCTGTGGCTTGTGGAGTGCAAGGTTTACCAACCATGTGCGGTACCCTCTTGAATTTTGAGCCCTGATTACAATAACTATGATTATAAATAGGTTGTGTAAGTACGAAGTTTGGATGAAAAATTGATGACTTTTGCAGTAGTGCAAAGGAAACGTTTGTACGATTGGTGAGAGTGGGGAGAAGAGCAAAGAGAGGCGCCGGAGCTGTGAACAAAATGGGTTGAAGATGATGAGATGATGCTCTTAACATTTCCCTCCTTTAGAAAAAAAATTGTAGGGATTTTCAGTTCTCCTTTCTTGTGCCCTGAATTTTTTTATTTTAGAGAGTCGAGTAAATAGTGAGAGAAATTGGAGAAGCTGTTATGACGATTCTTAGCCCATCTCTTCCCAATTCTTATTTCAAAACTTGTTGGGCATTTTTTGATAATTGATGTCCAAATTTTTTGGATGAAAAATTGATGACTTTTGCAGTAGTGCAAAGGAAACGTTTGTACGATTGGTGAGAGTGGGAAGAAGAGCAAAGAGAGGCGCCGGAGCTGTGAACAAAATGGGTTGAAGATGATGAGATGATGCTCTTAACATTTCCCTTCTTTAGAAAAAAATTGTAGGGATTTTCAGTTCTCCTTTCTTGTGCCCTGAATTTTTTTATTTTAGAGAGTCGAGTAAATAGTGAGAGAAATTGGAGAAGCTGTTATGACGATTCTTAGCCCATCTCTTCCCAATTCTTATTTCAAAACTTGTTGGGCATTTTTTGATAATTGATGTCCAAATTCCTTAAATTATGATGAAAGATCGAGGCCTATTTAATTTCATAGGTTATAAGCTCAGAATTGGAGAATTAAATCACATCACAATTGAAGTAGCTCAATTATGTTTGGTATATAGAGATACTAAGCTCATTGAGCTAGGTGCTCAATATCCAAATTAGAGTTAATTTGAAAATCACATAAAAAATAGATAAATATAATTGTTATCTTTCTCCAACCATTTTATCCCTTTTTGAGCTCTATCTTTCAATTTTGATTTATCCTAATCTTGCAAGATTTTTTGGAGAATCCGTTTCTTTCTTGAAGCCTATAAATTAGAAACTCTACCCTTCATTTTACACACAACAAAAACCAAGAGAAAAACCAAGAAAGAGCTCTCCCTGTTGTGTGCAAAAACATGACACCTCATCTACCTTCTTTGTGAAGTCTGTCTTTGTGACTGATAATGGCCTTCAAATTAGAGATACCTTTGTAGTGTGAATCAAGTATATGAGCCGAATCTTAAGGGGGCAAATCGTTCTTCAATTTTATAATTTTTGGTTGTTGGTTTTCCTCCATTTTTCTTTACAAATCCTTCACTAATTCATTGATGGGTTCGATTTGTAGATGGGTTTGTTGCACACTTTTTTAACTCTCCTCCTCACTTTCAAGTGTGTAAATTCAATATTTTTCACTGTTTTTAATCACATATTCTTCAAAATATCATTATCCAAAACTCCAATTCCTCAAAATAATGGCCATCAAATAGGGCTTAAGATCTTGATTGAGTCTCATTTTCCAATACTACATTTTTCTCCAAACTTATTTTTAACCATATATTCTCTTAATAAAATAATATTGTACATAAATCATTTTTCTTACTTTTCAACCACGCATTCTCCAAAAATTCACTATTCCAAAATTTATTTTTACGATATAAGACTCGCCTCCAAAATCCAGCTTTTCAATCCTCACACTTGAGTTTCATTTGCTTAGTCGATTTTACACAATTTCGTTAACATTATCCTCGTGCTAGATCTACGAGCTAATTTTTGGACGGATAACAAAATAATATACTTAACACATAACCTATCGTTTACCATTTTATTTTTGAAGAATAGAAAAAAGTTATTTAAATCATGAAAAATATTTTTTTATTTAAAATGAGTGGAGAGAAATAATTTTCCAAAAACCACTTCCATACCAGCCCACTTGTGTGAACGAATTTAGAAGGCTAAATTAGTGTCCATGGGCTTGTAGTCATACAAAGCCCACTTAGCTTACCCACAATTTTTAGGCCCGTACTGGTGTTTTGTGACCGTGATTTTTTTTTTTTTTCTCTCAATCTTCTAATCCATGGAACGGTACTGATCAAATCTTGTATAAATATATATAAGAAAAATTTCAATTAACTTTCAAAAGTAAATTAATTTTCCACTTATGACCTATTTATCCAGTAAGTACACGATATTCTATTTTTATTTACATAGAAGCTGAGAATTCTATTCGTTATATTTTGAGAACTTTGTAAGGTTTTCAAACTTTATCTCGAGATATAATTCTTAGGAGAAGTGAGCAAAATGGAGATAGATAGACATTACTATGGTAAAGAACGAGAAAAGTAAAATTCCATCTATGATATATCAAGTACGACGTATCCAATACAAGCCGAAAACGTTGGATTATTAGATTCTTTAAAAAACAAATAAAAAATAAAAAATGATTAGGTTCTTAAAGTATAACATTGGCATTGATATTTTCAATGCGTTTTGAATTATTTGATCCATCCAATGCCTTGCAAACAAATTAGAAGTAACATCCGCCCCCGGGGCATAGTTCAGTGGTGCAAAGGACGGGAGTGAGGTTATCTCACGCCTTGCTGGCAGTCGCAGTGTGGGGGTTCGATTCCTGAAACATGGAATTGGATTCCTTGTAGGCGTAGTGTACAAGCAGCTCTTGTTCCCTGAACTGTTGGGGCACATTCCGAGATTTACCTCCCTCACAAAGTTCTAGGGACGGGCCGGTGGGAGCCCTCAAGGTTGGGGTTCAACTTTTTTTTTTTTTAGTAGTAACATCCTATCTCCAACTGTCTTTCTTTCCCTTGGTTAAAATTGTTGTAAAACAGAAGTGTCAACTTCGAATGTATGACAAATGTAAGGTTATCACGAGGCTGCCTTGCATTAATATTTGGCCTTAAAAATAAAGTTATCGTAATTTAATTTAATTTAATCTAATGACTCAAATCTAATATAATTTCTATAGGTAATCATTCTTTAGTTCGATTTCAATTAAGGTTACTTTTAACTAATTTTATGAACGATTATTGATGACATGACAGTCAATAAATGATGGTTGTTACACTTACCCGATAGTTACTAATGTTAAATGAGTACGATTTTATTGAAATAAGTGAAGGCGCCATTTATTGTCTAATGTATCATCTATTTCTGATAGGTCGATTGGCCGAATAGATGTAAATACTCAATTGAATCAAATAAAATGTGTAGTTATTTTATGGAACATCAATGAGCTATAATTAGTTGATTGAACTAAATTAATGTGAATGGAATCTATCAAATATAATTTCTCATATAACATAACGAAAATTACTTTCAATAAATTTGAAGTTAATTTTTATATATTCTTATGTGCAATCACAATAAGATTATTTCTTCCTTGCCAGAAAATTTAAATCAAATAGAAATTGGCAATCGTGTGTTGATTAGTTGTTGCAACAATCTTTTTTACCTTAAGGCCACCTTCCGATTCTATGGGAAGTGTACTTGATAGGGATATTAAGTGTATGAACCGCTCATCGGCTCAACTTGTCCAAAGGTGAGTCATGAGGCAAGTTGATTTGGATTTTTTTGTGAGAGCCACTCGTCGATTCTCATTGGCTAAAGAGCCGAGCCGAGCTGCATTTTCTTTAAGAGAGCTAGCTCATGCTCGACTTGTCCCAAAGCAATCATATGTGTCAGCTTGCCAATGAGTATAACGACTCGATCCACTTAACATCCCTAGTACTCAACAATATATACGAAATTATTTGATGTATAATGCAACTTTTACACGACTCAAAAACGTGTTGTATAATATAACAGAGGGGGAAAAAAAAATAAAAATCTGCATTAAATCGACACCTTCAATTACCTGGTAACTTCGGTCAATTAGAAAAAGCGGGTCCACACGCTCCCATAGAAGAAACAAATGGCCGGCCTTATCCAGGTAATGGTGAAAGAGGAAGGTGGATTGGAAATTGACTAGATTTGTATTTTCCTTTTCCCTTTTTCTTTCTTTAAATAGGAAAAATAGCTATGGGGATCCACAACTTTTGACATATATAGTACTTTTGTCCTCAATCTTTAAAAGGAGCAATTATATCTCTAATCTTTCATTTTTTGTACCAGTTAAATCCTAAGTTGACGAATTTACCCTTATTATTCTGAAGAAGTGAGTAGTAGGATTTGCTAAGTTGATGATTTTCCCTAAATCTTTAGATAATAAAAAAATCATTTTCTTAGGTTGGGAGAGAGGGGGGGATTATATTATTATCTTTTACTTTTTTTTTCTTTATTTCTTTTATATAATAATTTGATTTGAATTAAAGATAAGGATAAAATATCCCCATTAGAGACTCAGGTGCTACTAAAAGGATCGGTTAGGGGATATGATTGCTACATTTTAATGTGTAGGGATCAAAGTGCAACAAACAATAAAGATTGGGGACCTCCGTCTGAACCAAGTTCACCATATCAATTCTCCTCTGTCACTTTGTACAGTTATAAGAGCCATGAAATTTGCCTAAACTCTCATTCATATTCTCTTCATTTTCTATGCTTTTTCTGTCTCTCTCTCAGAGCATTATCCTTTGAGACATCCTTCTAAGGTATTTAAAGTTTCTACTATACATTGTTATTTACATTTTACAAACTTTGTTTAATCAATAGAGAAAAAAAGAAGCAAAAATATTATCCTCGTTGTGTTTAGTTATGTCGTTTGCCTACCAAAAATGCATTGTAAAAGTTACAACCACATTTTTCAGGCAAACTCGAGGTTGGTGTTGAGCTTATGCTACTTGTTACACATTTCAACATGTACGCTCAAATCGATCTAATGATATTACAAATTTGGGCCCTATGTTAGCTTTTTCTTAAAGCTTTTCTAGTCGATTAAAGTAGTTTTAAAAAATTATTCAAATATGTTCAAAAGTAACTTTTTAATTTCGAAAGAAACTTCTGACTTTTCATAAGCTCTTCCAAACCGACCATTTAAGTCTTTCGCTGTCGATATTTACACTCTTTCTTTAAGAAGTAAGCTTTGATTTGCATTATAGTGATTATCATACCTTGTTTGTCTTTTTACCAGCTATCATCCAGGTTGAACTCATCCTTTTACCTTGTTTGTTTTTTCTGCAATTCTTCTCTGCAAATATACCATGACTTTCAAATGAATCAAACAATTCTGAAGATCAATAATTGCTAAAAGCATTTTAATTTTTGCTTCACTATTGTTGAGAATTTCCAGATTTAACAACTGTGTATATATTTCTATCAGATATGTCTTCGAGTAATACGCCACCAACCTCAGACGTAAACGATGGAGCAAGAGCTGGAGGTGAGTTTCAAAAAGTTGCTAAACAATACTGACATATTTCGTAAGGTGAATTAGACAGTGCAATAGGGGGCAAAAAAAAAAAAAAAAAGTGTTCGGTCCAGTCTTATCTTCTATTCCGCCTCGTTGATTATTGCATGGCGAAGCCTCACCACTTGAACTTTTTCATTTTGCAGCTATTGTTTTGGGCTTAGTTATATTTTTAGTGATTGGGTTAATCTCTTGCTACTGCGCTAAGAAAATGAGGAAGGCAATAGTATCAGAACTAAGAGCTGCAGTTGCTCCCCCAACACAACCACCATTAAATGTAATCCAAGTTTGGGAGGTTGATGCCCCAACAATGGAGAAATTTCTTCGTGACCTAGCACAGGAGAAACCGGTGAGGTTCACCGCACAACAGCTCTGTTCTTTCACGAGTAATTATACTACGATGTTGGGTTGTGGAGGTTTTGGGAAAGTCTACAAGGGAGAGTTCCCGAATGGAAATAAGATTGCGGTAAAAGTTCTCAACCGGAGTGCAGATAGGAGTGCGGAGGAGCAGTTTATGGCCGAGGTTGGGACGATAGGGAAAACTCATCACATAAATCTAGTGAGATTATACGGCTTTTGTTATGATCCGTATATGAGTGCTCTTGTGTACGAATACATGGAAAATGGATCTCTAGACAAGTACTTGTTTAGTAAAGACAAAGAAATTGAATGGGAAAGGCTGCATGAAATTGCAGTTGGAACGGCTAAGGGTCTTGCATACTTGCACGAGGAATGTCAGCAGAGGATAATACATTATGATATAAAGCCAGGAAACGTGCTCCTTGACGCAAACTTTTCTCCCAAGGTTGCGGATTTTGGGTTAGCGAAGCTTAGCAACAGAGATGCTACACACATTACAGTCACGGGATACAGGGGCACTCCGGGGTATGTAGCCCCGGAATTCATGCTGAAGAATTTCCCTATAACGTATAAGTGCGACGTTTATAGCTTTGGTATTTTACTATTCGAGATAGTTGGTAGAAGGAAAAATACAATAGTCGGAAGTACTGATAGTCTTGATTGGTTTCCGAAAAAGGTTTGGGAGGAATACGAGAAAGGAGAGCTCACGGCACTAACAGAAGCTTATGGAATCGAGGAGAAAGATCGAGCCATGGCCGAGAAAATGTCTATGGTAGCCCTGTGGTGTGTTCAAGATTCACCAGAGGATAGGCCACCTATGAGTGCTGTGGTGAAAATGTTGGAGGGAGGGGTCGAAATTATGCCACCGCCTAAACCATTCCATTATTTGTTTTCAGTCGGGGTGCACGTGCTACCAAACAATAGCGGGAGTGATTCAACATATTCAACTAGTGGAACGAATTCTCATTGGTACAAGGAAACTACTCCAATAATGGAAAAGTATGAGATACAAATGGCGAGTGCGTGAAGAAGAAATTGGTGTAGAGTATTTTATGTTGGTTGCAAAGAAAATTTGGTAGGTTTCATGTACCAAAATAAGAAAACAAAGAAAGAAATAAAAGGATTCAAGATATCTTATCATAGTAAATCTGTTATGCTGTAATTATTTGGAAGATTAGCTTCAAAATCGCAAGATTGATGTAAAATTATTGCAATATATCACTCAGCCCCACCCCCTATACATGAGTACACGAGGTAAAAATTACTAGACATCAAAAAGGTATCATCTTGCAGTAAAGTGAGTTGGAATAAGAGTGTAAAACTTACTGTCCATGAGGAGGGAGTGCATCAGCTTCAGGGCCTGCATCATTTCTGCATGAAAATTTTCATTAGCATCAGAGCAGTTACATAAGAAAATAATTTGGGATTTCTAAGATTTTATTTTACTAGAGAAACAGTTTACTTTCCTCAGATCAATCTAGCTTGACTATTTAAATTTAATTCTGCTATCAGACTCATACATCATAAATTCAGCAGTTCGTGTACAACAAGTTCCTATTATTTGAATACACAAGTAGGGAGCATAAGAACTTAATTTATTTTTCTCTGGCTTTTCTGAGTACAACAGTACAATGACATGGGTTCCAGTTGATAACGGGAGTTTAAACCCTATTTATGGATGTATTTACCTCCTAATCAGCGAGCATCATATATTTAAAATGGAACGACGAAAAGAGGAAACACATGAACGTTCGGGGTGAAATTCTTGAATGCCAAGGGGAACTTTTATCCTTATTTATGTTGAAATTCTAAGCAATTCAAAGTGTTTGCCTCCAGTGTCACCATGCATTGTTGCTCATAAGAATGTTTTTCTGGTTTGTAGCTAACTCAGAAGAGAGGGGTTGGACCTCACTGATGGTCTCCAACTATAAAAATGCACATACACACAAGATAAGGACATGAAATGTGAACAATTATACAGATATTGGCAAGTCAAGAAAAATGCATTATTTAGGGGACTACATAAAAACCAGGCATCTTCTGTAGAACAATTCAAAATTGGATTGACCGGGCCTCTTGATTAAGATGGAGGAAGATATTGGAACATTTTTTAAACGTTTTAAACTTTCACAACAAATATTAATTTTCAATTTTGATTTTAATATAAAATTAAATCTTATTATTTAGGTTGTAACTTAAGGATAAAAGTTTCAACCTTTCAAATTAAAAACCTTTTAATTTTTAGTTTTAACATAAAATTAAAATACCATAATACATATTATAGCTTATGATTTAATCGTATAAATGTGGGGGTTGAAATTTTACCTATAAAAGGTTATTGGATTTCATTGTTGTCCATATCTTACAACAACTTGAAGTATTGTCCTCTCTACAATTTTATACTATATTCAAATTATTTTGACAATTCGATGAGAAACTCATTCGTTTATTTCTCTATGATCGTGCCCATAGAAGGAGAGACATGGGGGTTTTATTTTGGTGTTGTGTAGTGTCGAAAGAACCCGCACAAAGGAAGACAATACGACTTTAGGACATCGTCTTCCACGTGACTTCCAATGCTTATTTTCTTTTTAGGGTAATGCCGAACTACTCGAAAATATTTGCCAGAAAGGATGACCCTCTCTCCCAGCTGCTGCAAGTTCAGCCATGAATAAAAAATGCCGACCACTGTAGCTGTTGGGAAAACACCTCCCAATGAATGCCCAAAGATCAAACTAAGTTGGCAAAGTGAAAATTTCCAATACACTTGAAGAACAAGAAAATGAGGAAGAAATGATTTCCAATAGAATATATGAATATCAATGTGTTTGGATTACTTGAACAAGCCTCAAGTTAATCCCCAAGAAAGAAAATAATTTTGAATTTATACCCAAGATGAAACAACCTTCAACTTGTAAAATTCTCACCAAGTTTTCTCTCTTTTCTCTCTAATTTTCGGCCTAGGTCTTGTGGTGTGTCTTGTTAAAATGAGGCAAAAAAAACCGGGTACTTAAACTCTATAGGGGCGCCTAGGCGCCTGTTTGCCTTAACATTCGGGGCGCCTAGGCGCCATGTGGGTGGCGCCTGGGCGCCCCGGCAGAACCAGCCCTTTCTTCAGCTTCTCTTCCTCCCACAATTCTCCACCTCGTACATCATTTGATAAACCTCAAATTTTGGACGAATACAAGAAGAAGAAACAAGCACCAACTCGGCTGCATCATTCAAACCATGATTGCCTACGTACCCATAACTCGGGATCAAGCCTCCGTAGTTCACCTCCACCTTCATATACTCCACCTCATTTCAACCCCGCCCCGAAGGGCCATGCCCTCTCGGACATATCAACACGGACTAATGTGAAGCAAGTCCAAGCAATGTTGAAACTTGCTACCCGTCACCACTTTGGTTAACATGTCAGCTGGGTTCTCATTTGTGTGCACCTTCGAGAGTGAAATATCACCTTCCTCTATAACATCACGCACAAAATGATACCTGACGTCAATATGCTTGGTTCAAGCATGATGAACCTGATTCTTAGCCAAGTGAATCGCACTCTGGCTATCACACCACAAGTCCACACAATCCTGCTCAATCCCCAAATCATCTAGAAGACCCCATAACCACAATGCTTCCTTCACTCCCTCTGCCATGGCCATATACTCGACCTCTGTAGTGGAAAGAGCAACTGTATCCTGTAACATCGATCGCCAACTAATTGGGGCAACATGTATGCAAAACACATATCCAGTAGTAGATCGTCGTCTATCTAGATCACCTGCATAATCCGAGTCCACAAACCCACTTATATGACATGCATCTCCACCAAAACATAGACCCGTATCCGCGGTACCTTTTAAGTACCTCAGGATCCACTTCACAGCTTCCCAGTGTGCCTTCCCCGGATTCGCCATGAATCTACTGACCACACTTACCGCCTGTGAAATATCTGGGCGTGTACACACCATGGCATACATCAAACTGCGAACTGCACTAGCATAAGGCACACGATCCATGCGTACCTTTTCTTCCGCTGTAGTAGGAGACTGTTTACCAGAGAGCCTGAAATGTGAAGCCAATGGAGTTACCACCGACTTTGCACCTTGCAACCCGAACCTAGCAATAACCCGCTTAATGTAGCCTTTCTGACTCAAGAACATTCGCCGATTCGCCCTCTCTCTTCTGATTTTCATACCCAGTATTTTCCTAGCAGCCCCCATATCCTTCGTCTCAAACTCTTTACCAAGTTGAGATTTCAACTTATCTATCTCCACCTTGCTTTTCGAAGCGATAAGCATGTCATCCACATATAGAAGAAGATAGATATAGTTACCTCCCCGAAGCTTCCGAATATAAACACAACAGTCATACTCACTTCTGGAGAACCCATGCTTTAGCATGAAGGAGTCAAATCGCTTGTATCACTGCCGAGGAGATTGCTTCAATCCATATAGTGATTTTCTCAAGCGACATACCTGACGTTTCTTATCCTCAACCTTGTAGCCATCAGGTTGATGCATATAGATCTCCTCATCCAAATTCCCGTGCAAGAAGGCGGTTTTGACATCGAGTTGTTCCAGCTCAAGATCATGATGAGCAACAATACTCAATAGCACCCGAATGGAAGTGTGCTTGACCACAGGAGAAAAGATCTCATTGTAGTCAACTCCCTCTCTTTGTGCAAACCCCTTAGCCACTAACCTTGCTTTGAATCTTGTGCCACCGAGCTTGGTAGGGTCTTCTTTCTTTTTATACAACCACTTGCAACCAATAGCTTTCTTACCTATGGGCAATGGGACAACCTCCCATGTTTGGTTCTTGTGAAGTGATTCCATCTCTTCTTCCATTGCCGCCAACCAACTCTCGCTATTATTGTTTAAAATAGCTTCCTTGAAAGTGGTAGGCTCATCATCCTCCACCGAGAGTGCATACTCAACCAAATTTGTCTGCCCATAGTGCCTCAAAGGCTCATCTGACCCCAACTTTAGAACTTGCTTGTAAGTACGGCGTGGCCTAGAGGAAGCCAAGTTATCTGCAAGCTGCTGCTGTTGCTGTGCCTGTACATTCTCTTGCTGAATCGCCTCTTGTTCAAGTGCATCATCACTCTCATCTTGAGTGTCTGTTTGATGCTCCTCTTGAACATGCCTAGAATCAGGTTGATCTCTAGGTTCTATGTCAACAACTTGAGACATTGTAGTCTCAACATCATCACCATCGGGCACTGTAGCTTTCAACGAAGCAACCATGGAGTTCTCATCAAAAGTAACATCTCTGCTGATTATGAACTTAGAATCCTCTACACACCAAAGGTAATAACCTTTAACACCTGCCGCATACCCCAAGAATATAGCCTTCTTGGCCCTCGCATCAAGTTTTCCCTTATTGACATGATAGTAGGCTGTGTATCCGAATGTTCCGAGTTTCTCATAATCTGCATGTTCTCCTGTCAATACCCTATAAGGTACATCTCCATCTAACCTTGAATGTGGAGACCGGTTCACAATATAGCAAGCATTTGCAACCGACTCTGCCCACCATTCTCTGCCCAAACCAGCATAAGATCGCATACACATCGATTTCTCTTGAAATGTGCGATTCAGTCTTTCCGCGACCCCATTCTGTTGCGGTGTATTTCTTACTGTCCAATATCTCACAATGCCTTCCTTACCACAGAACTCCTTGAAAGCACCATCTGTATACTCGGTACCGTTATCAGATCTCAGTGTCTTCAATTTCTTTCCTGTTCTGTTTTCAACCATTGCCTTCCACTTCTTGAAGGTGTCGAATACCTCATTCTTATGCTTCAAAAAATAAATCCAAGCATATCTAGAATAATCATCAACAAATGTAACAAAATACCTGGAACCGCCTTTGGAAGTGACAGAAGCCGGGCCCCATACATCCGTATGCACATAGTCAAGAATGCCTCTGCTTCTATGTTTGCTTGGCTGAAACTGAACTCGGTGTGCTTTACCGTACACGCAATGCTCGCAAAAATCCATGCAAGGCTTCTTCAAGTTCTTTAGCAAGCCTTTCTTGACTAGCAAATCTAGCCCCTTTTCAGACATATGCCCAAGCCTCCTATGCCATGCACTCACATGGGTCTCCACCACTTCCACTTATTCCAACTGCTACATCTTCAGTAACTGTAGTACCTTGAAGAGCATAGAGATTGCCTTCACGAATACCCTTCATCACAATCAAAGAACCACGAACAACCTTCTTTACTCCATTCCATGTTACAATCTTGC